TGCATAGGTAATTATTAAATGTATAATCTGCTCCGGTCTTTCCTACGTAATTTGCTAAATTAGTAAACTTAGTGACATCTGCTACATCCTTCAATATACAAAGCGAATTAGATTCCGTTTTTTTAATTTTTTTTGTTGTGCAATAAGAAATACCATTAAAATGTATTATTTTATTTTATAAAATCTAAAGCAAAATTGTAAAAATTAAAAATTTATATATAAATTAATAATATGGCTCAATCAGAATAAATCAATATAAATAAGTAGAAGGGCTTAGTTTATTCTATCTAAAGATTTGAAAAAAAAAAAAATTTATATATATATATAATTAGTACATAGATAGTTAGATTTGAAAATAATTTTATCAGATTATTAAAATAATTACGTAGGAATCCCAAGCATAATAAGCAATGCTTGTAAAAAGTTTTGTCATTTTAGCAAGTTTCAGCATCCTACATTATTTTGATGGTCCAACAAAATTATTTTCAGATATCTATCTAGTTCTAAATTGTTAGACACTTCAGTAAAACTGTCCTATTTGTGCAGAAATTAGACGAATTCTTTAAACGTTGGCGTAAGTGAAAACTCACATAATTTGCATGCCGTTACGTCATTAAGGTAACTTTATGTAATTTACGCGATTCTTGAAAGAGAAAGGTACAGAAGACGTTGAAATTCACGTTGCTATTAAACGAAAGTGAATCCGGTATATCCGTGCGAACCATGACACGAACCCGCCGCATAATGCGAATTCACGCCTTACAAACACCGCATCATCCGCCGCGATGACCTTGACGTGACCTTCTTTTGAATTGCATGACCTTAATAACCTCGTCGGAGTCTCGTGAGGGTGAATGTGAGCGTCCTTTGCCCATGATGGAAACCATACGATTCCTGAAGAATGCGTTACATTACCGGACGGCATACAAGCATTAAAGCCAGATTTAATAAGCAATTTCGTCTTTCGGTTAACGTGCGATGCAACTGTTGATTGGAGGTTTAATTAGTATAATTGGTGTCGATCGATGGCTAACATGTTACAGCAAAATGTTTCGAGGTTTATCGCCATCGATAGCTTTGATCAAAGTCATCGACAGCATTAATGAACACCAGACATTTTGCACTTGTCAGACAAAGTGATATTAACCATAAAGGTGACACACAACTATATAAATTTTATATTATTTTCTTACTTCAAAAGCATTACTTAGAAAATTAACAGTACATAATATGTTAGAAATAAGACTGTCATATAAATAAGTTAATCAATTGTAAGTAAGAGAAGCCACTTATGATAAAAATCAGATGTTGGAATAATGTATCTATATATATGTATACATATCTAATTAAATTTAGGTAATATTTTTTGCAATAAATTTTTTACAGTTTTGGAGATGCTAGTAGCATCAAATTAACGATTTAATTAAATTTGCAGATTTTGTTAATATTTTGGATTTATTGTATTGAAAGTCCAAAAATAATCGAAGCACAATCATATTTTTTAGATAAAAATTTATTTAAAATACATATATGCATCTAATAATTTAACTTTAACCGTATTCTCATATTTAGTTGATTTATTCATATAAACAGTTCTCTTTCTAATCTTAATTATTGTAAATAAATTTATGTTAGATATGCTCATCGATTATTACTAAGGCTCGGTTTTTCATTACTTGGTTAACTTGTGATTAGGCTTAACCCTATTATGTATAAAAATTAACACAAAAAGTGTACTAGTAATAGAATTTGTAAATAAACTGTGAAAGTGTATTTTCTCAGTAAAATTAACATTTATAATATGTTAAATTACCATAATTTATTTATTTATCTCAGAATTTGTTTTGGAACATCATATTTTTGTTTATTTAATCATAAATTATGTACAATATTTACTTATAAAAGACCCCGCACTAATTCTATATGAAATTGGGTCCCGGCGAAATGAAATAGTTTTCTTATATAACTTATAACCTGCTACAAAACATATAAGTTCTAGCGCAAAAAAATAAACGGTTTTCGTGTTTGATTCAGTCGCTGACGTCTCACCATAAAATACTCAAATTTCTAAACGGCTGACCTAAAATGAATAAAATTACAGTGTTTTGAAAAGGCCTCAACAAGAACTACAAGAAAATGAAAGAAAAAGTGGGGGATTTCACTTAAACAATTCGAATTGACTTTGCCCTACCTTGACGACGCCACCCAAAGTCAAACTGATGAAGCTAGCGATTAGGCCTTTTTAAATAAGAAACATAAAATATTCCGAGAGGGCAAAATATCTGGAAAACTATAAGTTTTATAAAAAAATGTTTTAGATAAAAGTTGTAGAGTTTAAAAAGGTCTAACCGCTGGCTTCATCAGTTTTACTTTGGGTGGCATCGCCAAAATAGGACAAAGTCATCTCGGATTTTGTAAATGAGGCCCTCTACTTTTTCTTTCATTTTCTTATAGTCCTTGTTGAGATCTTTTTTCAGAACACTATAATTTTATCCATTTTAGGTCAGCCGTTTAAAAGTTATTGAGTATTTTATGATGAGATGTCAATGACTGTAGGTGAATCGAATACGAAAACTGTTTATTTTTTTGCTTATATATTTTGTTTAGCAGGTCATAAGCTATAACATATGAGAAAACCACTTAATTTCACCGGGACCCAATTTCATATAGGATTAGTGCGAGATCCTTTGGAAGACGATGTATATATATTAATTTATTTAACTATATGTGTACATTAATTCTACATATAAATCTTGTATAATTGTCATTTTTATAATTGCAGTCATTGTTTTTTTCTAATTGTTTATTTTTTCTTTTTCTATATATTTTCTTTGTATATATTTATCCATTTTTATCTTATACTTGTTTCGTAATTTTTATCATCAATTATCTCGTCAGTATTACCAATTTTTCAGTATTAACACCTTTTCGATATTTTTTGAAA